ACAAAAAAAAAATACCAATGATATATATATATATATATATACGTCTAAGTCCTTTATACAAGTATGATAAAATTTCTCTAAAAGAGTTGTTACGGTACCTCCCAAAGATGAAGGAGTTTCAATACATTTTTCTATGTAAACTTATAAAAGATTTTAAAAAAATTAATTTAATTATAAAATAAATAATCCAAATTATACTTAAATGTTATACTAATTAAATTGGAATTATAAGTGTTAAGAATGAGTTTGGAGGGTAAAAAATTCTATATCTCATTTATACGTAAGTTCAGACTTTTTGATCATATCGGGTGTAGATTCACAACATTGGGTATGATGATTCAAAAGATGCCTTTGTTCCTTTAGCATTGGGTGCCAAATATGCTTCACTAGGTGCCATTTGATGTTGTTTTTATGAAAGTTTCTCACCAAGCTTGGCCTTAGCCTCACCTAGGGCAAACACTATGGAGAGATTTCTGACCTCTCGGCTATGACACCCATTCTACCGCAACATATGATATAATTGAATAAGGAAAAGTTTCAATAGATACTCAGGTAGAATAGGTTCACATAGAAACTACCTCTAAACATCCAATCAAATTAAAATAAAATTATACAGTATAAGGTTGACAATTGTATCTAAACAAGGAAGAAATGGAAAATTAAAATAAGTTATAAACTTCTACTCTAATCTCATTGCCTCGATGTCACATTATCAAAACAAACCCGTAACTTTAACTCTCGGCACCTTAAGTGCCACCCTCATCATGGTCATCATTACCTAAAATAAAACCACAAAGCATACGAGTAAGAAAAATAAGTATTCATATGTAAATCACAAGAAGAGAACTCCAATCCAAACATATAGTATACCCAACATACAATTCAATCACAACCATGTCATCACCACATATATTCAACGATTATTATTACTCTAGTCACATCATCATACAACTCATATGTCATGCTCATGCTCACATCAATGCAAATGAAATGCAACCTCCTAAGAAGCATTGACTTAGAGTGCCACACAATGATCGAACCTCATCAATCTCCTCAAGCACCGCCACTAATGGCCACACCATTTACATCACTTATGATCGGTGTCACACTATTAATCACCATTTAGCCTAGTGTACAAATAATGTATCCCACACCATTTACATCACTCATGACCGGTGTCACATTATTAATTACCACTTAGGCTAGTGTTTAAGGATACATCCCTTGTTAACAACCACTACTTAGGCTAAGGTAAATGCGTACGCAACATGCACCAATACTCATGCCAAGTCACATCATACCCTTATCCTTTCACGCCAATGCATAATTTATAATAAAGTTATATTTAACCACATTTGTATGTCAACTCATCCAAGTACACACCACTCATATTCAATTACACTCCTCCAAATACACAACATTCATACTCAAATTATACTCATCCACATACACACCATATGTTTTTATTCATACAACAGTTATCAAGGACGTCATACAACTCAAAATCATCTTCAAAACACATCAATACATTTATCACACCACAAATTCACGCCCGGCCAAATTATAATTTCACCTGGCACTAAGGAGCCACAAAGAGGTCCAAGTTGTTAGTTTTGGTAGGACATGAATCTAGAAAGGGGGTTGAATAAATTCTTCACTTAGATGACTTTCTATGAACTTAAAAAATTTCTTATTCTCTTCTTTCTTATTCCAACATCAATTAATCAAATTCATATTACAACTTAGTAAGAGATACAAATTAACATATTTACCACACAGTGGAACAAGTATTTGTAATCCAAATTGATTTTAGTATTTTTCCTTCTTTCTTTTATTACCAAATTGCATATATGATAAATTGAATATGAATAAGCAATTGATAACATTCAAAAAAACATTTTCTTGAAATTATTTTAAACAATTTTCACAAGAATTATATCAAGAGATGAAGGTTAAGAGAGAAATACACAGTGATCTATACTGGTTCAGCCATACAAGGGCCTACATCCAGTTTCTGACTTAGCAATCAAGTCATTCCACTATAATATGATTTACACACACCATGTACAAGCAATATTACAATCAGAATGAAAATCATACCCTATCTTGAATCCACAAGATTTCACAAACAAAGATTCTTACACCCTACAAGAATCTACTTAAGAGAAAGCAATCTCAAGATTCATCTTAATGATCTTCTTGAGACACCCTATCTCAAAGAGTAATACAACCCAATAGTACAAAAAAAGTTTTAAGATCAGAGAGAATACACCTGATATGTGTAGAATGATCTTCAACAAAGATTAGCTCATAAATTTCTTGAAATCTTTCAAGAACTCATCTTATTTAATCAATCTTTACCACTTGTATTCTTTCTGAAAAGTGTGTGATATGATCATATTCTAAAACGTTTTTCAGAGTATATATGATCTCTCTTTTAAGTTTTTGAAAAAAGTTATATTTATAGTGCAAAGAGGATTTCAACATTTAAAAATTTCATAACATCTGTAATCTATTACTGATGCATGTAATCTATTACCAGACTTTTAAAAACTAAAATCATATTGATTCTAAAACAGGAATAATCTATTACCAAACATGATAATCGATTATCCCGAGCTTTAGCAAGCATAAAACTCAATTTTATGTTGAGGTAATTGATTACTAAAGAGGGTAATCGATTAACCCAATGCAAAAATCACTTGTTTTCACTTAAAAGTCACCATGGAAATTTATGACCTTGATTGGTAATCGATTATCATAGAGAGGAATTCAAATTCCACTTCAAAATTAAGTTTCAGTAATCTATAACCTGAAATGGTAATCTATTACCCGACTTTATATTGAATTCTTTTGAATGAATCAAATTTCATTTAATGACAAAACACTTTGTAATCTATTACAAATACTTGATAATTTATTACATTATGTTTTCATATAAAATGAGAAACATTGAGTTAAGTTTACTAAAACAAAGTTTTTGAAATCATAATAATCATAACAAGCGGTCACCTACTAAGCCCAAAGATCGGAAGTGGACCACTTACTAAACTTCACTATCAGAGACTTCACCCAAGTATGATTATTACTGTATATAACAAGGAAAAAGAACTACATGGCAAATTAATTTTTCCATTAGTCGCATAATTGTCGATGTGTGTTTTACACTTTTACTATTAAATTAATATCACTGTACGCACGTAAATTAAAATGTCCCCTGGGAAAATGTTTACTATTTTAATTACTTTTTTTTAATGATGTAACATTTGGATGAGAAGACAAAAAAAATAGGAAAAATATTAGTAAATATATATTTCTTATTTGATTAAAGAGACAAAACAAAATGAGTTTTTTACAATCAAAATATAGTTGAGTTTCTTGCTATAGGAAATATACAAAATATTAAAAATTAATTATTATTAAAAAAATAAGTTTATTTTTTTAATAAATATTATATATATGTATATATTTTTATTTATATATAATTATTAAATGGGATGTGATTGAAATTTTGAACTCACTTTATTAAGTGAGATGGGATGGGATGAAAGGAGACACAAAACATGAATTAATAAAAAGTTATTGAAAGGTTTAAATATATTTTTAGTCTCTCAAATTTAAAACGTTTATTTTTAATTTTTGTAATTTTAAAAATCTTATTTTAGTTTCTCAAATCACCAATAACATATCTAAAAGTAATAAATTAAGACAGTTATGTAATATCAATTGAATTTAATGTGATATTTTTACTAACAGAAACATTAATAGGTAGATTTTATACAATAATGTTTGATAAATTTCTAACAAAATTTGAATATAAAGACTGAAATAATTTTTTTTTAAAATTACAGAGACTAAAAATAATTTTAAATTTAACGGACTAAAAACAATTTTATCCTAAATTTGAGAGACTAAAAACATATGTCATAAAAAAAATATTCAAAATATTATTTATAAAATTATAAATATTATAAATTGGATAAATCTTTTTTTACAATTAGTTGTAAAATAATTAAACACATTTATCATTTAAGATAAATAAAATTATTTTTAAATTTTATAATAATTTTCATATTGTCAATAAAAAATATCTTACAGTTTTATAAATATTGACTAAAATAAAAAATATACATAAGATTATATTTAGCTTAAGTACTTCTGTTCTTTTTATATTTAAAAAAAAACTAAAATAATTAATTATGTTATTTTAATATAAAAAATTAATTTATATAAAAATATATTTTTAACATACATAAAAACGAAATAATCCGTAAAAATGCAAACAGTACCGTTATATTTAATCCCCAAAAAAATGTTAATTAATAAACAAAGAAAAGTACCAACATAAGTTCTGTCTTCTGCCTTTTTAATATCGAGAGAGCAGCGTTTTTTTTTTTTTTTTCTCGGGATCAAAATATCCTTATTTCTTTTCCAGGACAAGTATGGACATTTACTATTCACCAATCGAAAAAGAGTATGGACATTTACTCTATTTTGGATCCTTTAACCAAATAAATACCTTAAGAATATTTTTTCAAGTGGTGTACTGTCTTAATTTGATTTATTTTACTCTCTTAATTATTTTTATAAATATTTTATTGAGAATTTTTCAACCTGACATTATTTGAATTTAAATGGGATCATTTTTATCAACAATGAAAAGGGCAAGAGAACAGCATATTCAAATGCATAGCCCTTCAGCCACTTTCACCAACAGGTCAATGTGCCACCAGGAAAAAAAAATATATTATTATATGAGTTAATTACTTATACACTGTCAATATAAATTTTTTTATACTGACAACCAATCATATCTTTTAATAATATATTTCAGTTGCTCATTTAATAAAATAAAAATAAAATAAAATAATTTAAAAGATATGATTGATTACTAGTGTAAAAAATTTTATACTAACAGTGTATGGATGATTAACTCTTATTATATTAATGTTATGTTGGGAAAATAATTTAAATTACCTGACAGTACATCACAAATCACGAACAGTTAACGTGACAATAATTATTTCTGGCTTTGATCATCAGTAAACAGAATACAAGTTGTACATTATGTACCCAAAAATGCAAAAATATATGATTCACGTAAACCAAAAATCTAACCTGCACTGGTGCTTATTACAATTCAATCAAAAATGAATTCAACTTCCTACCTAGAAATTTATGGAATTATCAGTCCCAACAATGAATGACAAAAAATGCAAAACTTCATCAAACTCTAAATGACAAAAAGTATATTTCTATCTATCCATTAAGTACCATCTGGAGCTGCTGGCAACTGTATTAACCGTGTGAAACCAAGTTCCTATGAAGACCGCTGGAATAAAAACAACATGCTTATTTTCACTTAATATACATATCTTACATTCCTGCCTGCCACTCTGAATACAGGTGAGAAGAAAGACTTCGAGGTGAATTGAGGATCAAAATAACCAGACATTCATTCAATCGTCTTATCAAATCACTGCATCCATGATCAACTAATTTGTCGTTGTTTTAATACATCCCCTTGAAAACAGGATTTGTACGGCAAATGCTTGCTCCATACTCGTCATATTCTTCCTTTGTATGACAAGACTGCACATTGGACCAGAAATTGTCAAACTTAGACTTGTTTTGCATTGAGATTTATGGGAAGGTTTAAAGGAACATTAAGAAATTATGGACACTGACTAGTGACTAGTACAATGACATTATCACAACTTCATAAGAAAACATCACAGTCCACTGTCATGTTTTGTATTTCTAAACTTAGCAAACAATACCATGTATTTTGTTATCAAGTATGCAATCATAAATTTATTTAACCATTTGGCAAAGCGTACAAAATCCTGATTATCAATGCCAGACAAAGAGGAATAGACAACCAACTACAGATGTCACACTGACAGCCACCCACGTGGGTGCCGGGGCTGCTGAACATGGTGGAATGTTAGGATCAAATTGTAAGGTATGTGACTTAATTCCATATTTAAAGTATGGGACTCTAGTGTGGGGTTCACAAGGTTTTGAGTTCTACAACTGTTAGCTCCTTTGTCGTGGTTCTCCCAAAATTCTTGTCATTAGTACACAAAATTAGTGATTATGGCATGCAGCACCTAACCTCCTAACCTCCCAAAAAAATGTGAGAAATGCTTACCGCAAAAAATTCAGGTGTTGATGCAAGCACTGATCCTCCAAACCAAACTGCAAATCTCTGGATGGGATGGCTGACTACATTTACCTCCACTGGCTGCGACTGTAGGCTCCAAATAAACAAAAAAGTAAATGCCAGGCCAAAACAATAAATATATTAATGTGACAATTTTGTCCATGCAAGTGTGGTGAAAGGCAGGCTGGGGGTGGACCCACTAAGCAGGGATAGGAATAAACCAAGGCATACCATGCTTTGAATATATAGGTTGGACCTGTTCGACAAAATTAAAGCATAAACTTAACCTATTATTTATCATAGACTTTTTTTATAGGTCTGACTTAAACTTTTTAAAGTCAGGTTTGACCTATTAGCCTATTTAAAAACCAATTTAAATTATTAATGTTAATTAGGCTAATAAACTTAATTTTAAAAAATAAATAAAATTATTTTAAAAATATAGTTTACTTAATATTATTAAAATTTAAATTTTAAAAGAAATATAGGAAAAAAATTGAATTATTTTCTATTGAAAGAATAATTTATGTGTAATCATGTATGTTGATCTACACTAATGCATAGGTCGTAAACTTATAAGCCTATAATAAAAAAAAAATTGTATAAAAAAATATTTTCAATATTGATAATTTATTTATTTTTAAATTCATTTGTTTATTTATATTTTTAATAATATATATATATATATATATATATTAATTTTTATTATATTATATAAATAAATAGACTCATCTATCAGGCCTATTAGACTTTTCTATAAGTCTAAGCCCGACTCTTTTATGTAAATAGTTTTTTTAAAAATCTAAATTTGACTTTTTTATTAAACAGGTCAGATTAGATCAAACTTTAAAGAGATCACGCCATAATTCTCTTTTTAAGGTCTGACCTATTCTCATCCCTACTAGTAAGTAATGTGACTAAACCAATTGGCAGCCAACACATACCTATTTTTAATGGAAAATAATTACATGACAAGGATTTTGTAATTATTTAATATAACATAATGATGTATTGATTGTTGATTGGTTAAGGCCATACGACTAGTGCAAGCAAGGTTTATATAAAGAATTTCCCATCTGTGTACGCAAGAGAGGGAGAAAATGATCAATTTAAAGATGGTTTAAAGGTAACTATTAACTCTTACTTTTATCTCCCCATTTAAGCGCGCTTCAGATGAAAGGACACGAGCATCCACTATTTTTCTTATATCACGCTGCATCCTCCTGTGAAAATCCTTGAACATGGTTGAACCTCCAGACAACACTATATTCTGAAATAAAAAAACACAAAATAGGCAAGAGGTAAAGAATTGAATCATTAGGAACATGTAAAATTGTAAACTGAAGGGCTTGAAATTTATGTTCTCAGAAAGTAAATATCATGGCTGGGTTGGGGGAATGACATAGCATTTGACACTAACGTATTCCACCTGGCCAACAACAAAAAATGCCCCAAGCTTAACATTGAGCCTAAAAAACTCCCTAATTTTATCATAGGTGACTGTCCAGAGTGCACTAAAATTTAAAAACACTCTTGAGGCTTATCTATATACATGTCAATAGGTAAAGGTACACCTTGTATAATGATCTTCTTGTGTCAATTGGTGCAGACTGAATGCACTTGTCTATTATAACTGGCAAAGGGGTGGTAAAGTCGCTGCTGTATATCTCAGGATTAAAGAAAATCTGCAGAAATCATAGGTAAAACAAAGAGATATGTTAATATGACTGATCCTGTTAAGATTTGTTGAGTTCTAGGATTTTAGGTGGGGAATGCAAAAAGGAGATAATAAAGAATCAAAATAATATATGATTGATATTATCATTATGATTTAATGAGGTGAATACAAAAGACAACCGAATAGCCTAGTTATACTTAAACATAGAATCATACTCCTTATTAAATAAAGTAACAAATTATAAAATATAAAAGAATAATAAATCCTAAAAAATCATCTAGAGTACTCTAAATACGCTATTAGCTCCACAATTACACCAAGGCACTACAACATTTTCAATAATTCTTCAGTAGTTTAAGGAACAAACTCAAGTCTAGTTATAGCCAAGAAATAACAAGACTCTTAGAGATAGAGACTACTTGATCAGTTCATCCCAAGTTCAAACCCCAACCAGTCTACACTGCTGGCACTTAAGCTTCCCTTGCCCCTTCCCACACTAGTTACTGGACCAATTTTATAACCCAAAAAGGAATAGGAAAAAATTCTGACCTTCTAAAGAAAAGGTTCAGAGCAAGGCAAAATGAATAATATCACAAATTTTTTTACCATCTTCCCACATAGCCCCCTCTATTTCAGTAAGATATAACACTAGTGTTAGAATAGTGGATTAAGCCTAACTCAACCCTACAAAACCGGCTTGTAAGGTGAGGGTTGCTTTCCACTTATATACTATTCAATTGCCTAATCTCTAGTCGATGTGGGACTTGGGTTTTTCCCAATACACCCCCTCACGTCCAGCACTATTGGGCTTGGTACGTGGATAAATGGTGGGTGGCCCTTTTTAATGATCTAGGATAGGCGGGACTTGGGTTTTTTCCCAATACACCCCCTCATGCCTATGGCACATGCATCAATGGTGGGTGGCCCATTTAAAGTGGATCTAAATGGCTCTGATACCATGTTAGAATAGTGGATTAAGCCTAACTCAACCCTACAAAACCGGCTTGTAAGGTGAGGGTTGCTTTCCACTTATATACTATTCAATTGCCTAATCTCTAGTCGATGTGGGACTTGGGTTTTTCCCAATAACTAGGAAGTCAAGAACTAATAGAGGATATGTTAAGTTAATTCATTAGTTCATGAGATAGGTACAGGTATTCACAAGAAAAATATCATACTAAAAATAGGTTTTAAACAACTAGATATAAAATATCTCCAATCCGGAGGTCCCCTATGACAGATTTAGGTATCATAATAGAGAAAATCTAAAGAGCATCCATAGAACAAACCTCAGGGCCAAGAAATCGTTCATAGCCAATATCACACGAATATGGTGCTCCTGTCTTTGGTTTAATGCCTTTCCACTGTTTGACATACTTGGCTGGTTCTTTGTCATGCTTATTAAACTCCTGAGAGAAATTGAGCTATTGTTATGTAGGAAAACTTATAAGTTCAAAAGATAACTTTAGATACATCCCTTGATTCGGAAAAAAAAAAAAAAAATTTAAAGTATAAACAATTGGCAGAGGCACACCACAAACCCCTCAAATGATTCTGCCAAAGAACTATTGAACAAAAGATAACCTTCACAATGTCAGAGCAGGTGTAGCAATGCATTTCCTTCACTTTCCGTGCCACTTCAAAAGAGTCTTCTGGTGGTATATTCTCTCCTCTTTCCTGCTCCAAGCAATGCCAACACAAGACAGTTAATGAATCTGGCTAAGCAAAATGCAGATTGACAATTGGATATGGATCATTACAATCTCAGTCAGTTCAACAAAAACTTATAGCTGCTGAATACACAAACAAATTCCGTACTCAATCATGATATAAGTAAATTTCACTTCTATGTATTAACTACTAAAAAATGTAACAATAATACTATCAAAAGTACGTCACAGCCTGTTCATCCATAATTAGCGTTTATTCTTAATTAACAAGAGGATAACAGATATTCAAATAAGGAAACAATACCAGCACAACAAACTTTTAATTTTATTCCACAAGGATTTCCTACCCGCATAAGCTGCTGCACAAAAAGAGTAGCATCCTTTCCAGAAATAGGAATCGATTTGATGCTACTACCAATTACATAGCCATCTGCAACGGGTACAACATGGGCAGCCCCATCTCCAATATCCACTACAACTCCTGTCATCTCGCACTAAGAAGAATTTCAGGTCAGCCTAAAGGGAAAATATTCATAAAATTAGAGATATAATAAGAAATAAAATTTCTTGATAGCTCCTGTGGTATTATTATCATGTTCAAGTATAATAATGCATAACCAACTTAACATTTTATATTGAACATAATGAGGGAAGATGATAAGCTATGATATGATTATGCGCTAGTAATAATGCAAAACCACCACAACAGATGATATTCTACAGTACGGTTCACTTTTGATTTCAAGTGAAAGAATCCAAAAGTGTCAAATTGCAGGGGCTGATGAAACACCCTTCACATTTTTGTGTTTAGATAACTACCGAACTTGTTGCAGCTAAGGCCATATAAAATATGTAAAGCATTCAAGATTAATCATCCAAACTCAATTCTCTATAAAACATAATTCCCAATCCTATTCGCATGTACCAATTACCAACCTTAGAGGTTGTGTAGCCAGCTGCAAGAGCAAGCACAGAATTCACAGCAATGTAAAGTCCAGGGACGTTAAAAGTCTCAAACATGATTTCCCCAGTATACTCACGACTCTCAGGCGCGGTCAATGGACTCTCAGTCAAGAGAAAATAGTGATCCTCTGGATCACACCTCAAATAGTTGAATATGCACTGCTGCCAAAATCGCTCCATGGCATCCCAATTCTCAATCTGGCCCTGCTGAATCGGATAGTTGAGATTGTATGTGCTGCTAGTTCGATACTTAGCAAGCGCCTCATCCCCGATGAAGAAATCAAGATCCGCGATAACCCCAGCATTGTGCTGGGTCACCCAATTGCCTTTGGAAGTGCTCCTAGATTGATTCAGAAACGACTCATTAACTGCAACAACTGTCGGTAATATAAAACATGGCTCAACATTACCAGCAAACCCCATCTTCGTATACCTGCAAAAACAAAAAAACACAATTTTCCAAATTCAGGACAAACCCAATTCACATCAATCAATATTACAGACAATTCTAGCCACAAAACTAAGAAAACCACATTGGGGCATTTCAACAAACACACGGTGTCCTCATATTGATGCAGAGGAAAAAAAAAACACCACGTAAGGCGTGGAAGAGAAAGTGGGTGATAGAAATTAAGGAAAAGGGTACCCGGAGCCATTATCGATGACTACAGCTGGACGAGACATAGAGGGATCCATGAGAAAGTGCAAAAAGATGGTGAACGTGGAAAGTGGATCCGCGAGTGAGATCCGAATCGGAGAGTGAGTGTGAGGCAGAGGATCATGGTCGTGAAGAGCGCAACAAGGGGGAAGAAGAAGGTAAATAATAATATGATGGCGACACTAACAGATAGTTTGGTCCCAAGTGAAAAGAGAAATGGGAAGGGTTGGTGATTGCAACAGCCATTTGAATTCAAGTGAAAAATGCAGGTCCCATTAACATGATCATCATTCTCTTCCTTTCCCAAACATCGTACCCTTCCCTCTTTCTCTTTCTCTTTCTCTTTCTCTTTCTTTTATTATAATTTTTTTAGGTTTGTATGTGAATGCACGGCATCACCGCAAATTGATTTGTGTCGTTTGTCGTTTGTGCGACTGCCAACAAATGGGACTATGGGAGTGTTATTTGAAGGACCCACCCAAACTGGAATATTAAAATAGATTCATTTCTTTCTTACACGCCAACTTTTTTCTTTCCTACTGTTGTTTGCTTCCTAGTTTTAATTTAAATAAATATAAATTAAAACTAAATCTTTTAACCTTAATATCTATTCTTATCTTGAATTATTAATATAATGGAGCCATAGAAATTGTCAAACTATGTGTCCTGACCAAAATATATATATAAAAACTATATTGTTTAAAAATAAATATTCTTAGTTTTCACAAACTTCACTTTGCACCCAAATTTGTATTAGCATGTCTGACATGTAGCAAATTAAAGCAATGAAAAGAAAATAATAATGTGCAACAAAATGTTATGTAAATTGGATTGGTCTACCTATTTAATTTTTAAGCAAAAATTAAGAATGATATAATTTTATATTGTATGTTAGTGATCTAATTTTATCCCTTAGATTAATAGGAGATGCAGATTATTATTATGATGTATCTTTTGCACAAAAGAGGCAATCAAATATAAATTGCATGCATCAAAAGATGATGGGTGAATAATTTGTAACAGTAGAGGCACACGGGTGGGATCGCCCGTAGCAACGAAGGCGCGACATGAGCGCGATTGCGAATAATGCCAACTGTCACATTTTTCCCCTTCATATTCAAATTCATGTCATCGCTTCATCTCTAATTTGTTTGTTCTGAATCTCATGCTATTAACTATTAAGGTTGCCATGGTGGTGGTGGCAATTGGCAAATGTGATGATCGATGAAGTTCGATTGTAGCACCTTCTTTTTTATATGAACGATAATTATTTATAAAAATATTATGAGAAATTTTTTAAATTATATAACTTATATTACTAAAGTAATAAGAGATAAATAAAATATAAACTTATTTATTACACATACCTATAATTACAAGTTATAACTATTAGCATTTTATATCATAATTGTCTAGAAAATACAAATAATACATATACTATGTTAAAAGAAATAAAAAATTTTAAATAATATATCAATATTAACTAGATAGTATAAAATAAATAAACAAGATAAGATTTGGAACATCCCACAAAATAATTATAATTATATTTTTTTTAGCAATTATATATATGTCTTAAAAATAAACTACTGTATTACATATATATATTTATATTGTATTATTTATATAATAAAATTGTAAATAATTAATATATATATATATATATATATATATGAGTATATATTTTTAAGAACCCAAACATAAAATAAAACATAATAAAATATTAATATTTTATTAAAAATATTATCCCATATCTGTTCAACTTAACTAAAAATTTAAAATGTTATATCGACAATACAGTGAAATGAAGTAAATAGAAAGTAATAATTTAGTGTAGAGAATCTATATTATTTATATATGTACGTTATTTTCATTTAACCAATACTAATTCTTGAACATGATAGACTACCTATTACATATACAAAATATTATGGAACCACTAAAATTGACATAGATAAATAAATTTAAGTTTGATTTTTATTATAATTTTTTTATTTATTAAAATTACATTCACGATAGCAGAACCTAAGATGTTCATGCTAATAGAGCTTTATTAATTTCTTATTGTGGATTTGTCGCTATTATTATGCACTGACAAAAGAAAAGTTAAAAAATATTAACAGGTTTTATTAATTATTCAAAGTGAAGTATTTGTAGTGTTCTGTCAATTCCTACTGAAGTAGACACATGTACTAATATTTTCCATGAATGAATGACAACATCATTTAAATAATCATATCATTAATAAAAATATAATTGTTTTCATATTGTTTGTTGTACGGGTTACTACTAGTTTAATACATTCCAATACATTTTGATAACTAAATTACGAAACTCTGTACCAAAAAAAAAAAATTACGAAACAATTTCTAATTAACAAAACTGAATTCCAGAATATAATTTCAATAGTGTATTAAATACATCTCAAAAACTAAATTCTAGAACATATAACAATTCTCAAAATTAAATTTAAGAATTTAATTTCTAAAATGAAGAATATTTTTAGAATATTTTTTTTTTTTACTACCAATGAGAGGAGAGAGTACCAATTGTAATTCCCGAAAACAATAATGTCTGAAGTCTGAACCAATTCGATACACGGCTCTTACACTCCAATCTTATGGTACCTACGACCCAAATTCTTTGTATTTTTTTTTGGCCCAAAGTTCAAATAAATCCGTGTAGCCAAAACAATGTATATTTAATCTGAAGTTTTTTTTTTTAAATTATAAATGTTTTGATATAAAATAATTTTTTTGGATTAAAATTTATTAAAAAAATTTAAAATTTAAGTATTTGTGAAATTTTTTGATATAAAATTTCAAGTTCTTTCAAAAAAAAAAAAGAGTAAGAATTTAAAAATTTTGTTTTTCTTTTTTCTCCTACTTTCCTCTTTTCTCTTTCAAAGTCAACATAAAAAAATATTAATAATTTTTTAAATCATTAAATATTCAAATTATTTTTTAATTATTAAATATTATTTAATAATTTTTAATTTTGTTAGTTTTATAAAATTAATATCTATAAAATGACTAAGAGTTTAATTTTTATTTATGATAGAAATTAAATTGCTTTGTTCAAACTAAAAATTTAAAAATTTTGAATTTTGAATTAAAAAATAAAATAAAATATTTAAAAAATGATAAAAGTATAAATAAAAATAATTCAAATTCTAAAGAATTTAATTTTCTTAAACTTTTAAAATTTTTCATTCAAATATAGTACTGTTCCGGCCAAGGGGGTCTAAGGGTCTTCTCCTAGGTCAACATTCTCAAGACAGAGCATTCAAGTGTGTAATCTGCTTTCCTAACTATAGGATTTTAGGTCTTACTCTTATACCTTCTTGTTCATGAGCCTCGTGAGTCCAGAGATTTTCATGATCGTTTTTATTTGAAAATATTTTGTTATTAAAGATGGGATTTCCTCTTGATATCATCGCCATTATTAAAGGCCCCATCCTGCGTTCCTCATTGGGCTATTATCTTGGATATGGCGTCTCGGGGTTTGCATGTTGGGGATTTCGGCTCATCTTAGATCCCTAAGCGCCCTATGCCTTAACGACATATCGGTATTATATCGATAGGCCTTGTAGAAGTCTAACAAATGTTTCTCAAGTATGATATCGGAAAAATACCTAATTAGAAGGTCAGATCAGATTCTGACCAAAACGATACACTTACCTTCTAACCCCAGGCCTGTAAGGCATAGATGCTCAGTTAATAATGATATCGGAAAAATATCTAGTTAAAGAGTCCGATCGAATTCTGACCCAGAGAGTATAAATACAATATCAAGTAGCCAGAGCCAAACATATTAATCTAAAGAAAATAAAATTTCTGGTAGCGATAAGTGATTCACGCTGCGTCGGAACATCACACGATGATTGAGAACATGTCACTTTACTCTAATTCTGTTGATGATTTAAAATGTCAATTTCTCTTGTATAGACCCATGCCAGACCGTTTTAGAACTACCTTACTAGTTACTAGTGTTAAAAATGGGTTTTATTCCCTTAAAATATCAAAAATCAATTTTAGTCCCTTCAATTTGTTTTTAATATTTTCATTCATTAATTTGAAAATACAAGCTTTCAGTTCTCACAGTACTTTTAGATAGCGCTTCAAATCGACTATAAAATATCAGAACTTTAAGAATTACAATACAATTTTAAGTTAAAATGACTAAAATAAGACAAATAATTACGGAGATTAAAATTGAACTTATAGTGTGTTTAAATAAAACAAATAGAAACTTAAGAAATTAAATTTTTTTAAGACTTGAGTTTCTTGAATTTTAATTATCTTCATTCATATGTTAAAATATCAAGTAAATAGCATTTTTATCCTTTAAAGATAGAAGTATTATATTATCACTCTCCTATTATATTAATTTAGAGTATTTAACTTAACATCACTAAAGAATAATCATCATAAGATTTTAAAACACATTTTTAATTTAATTATTCATAAAAATATACTTTTAAGTAAAATATATTTTAAAAACATTTTTAGTTCATTGTGATTAAAAAATTATAAAATATATGATAAAATTTAAATTAATTTATTAAAATTATAGAAAAATATATTTTAATATTATATTAATTAAATATAATAATTAATACTTTATCATAAACACTAGTTTATTAATTTACATATCATAAAATATTTAATTAGAAGCATCAATTAAATAATATGTTAATACTAATTATATATTACCTTTATTATATGTAATAATACTATATATAATAAAAATATTATTTTACTTAAATATTTATATAAAAATATTATATTAACTATATTTATTAAATATTATTTTAATAATTGTCTTCGATTTTATTATACTTGTATATTTAGATATTTTTATTTTGACATATAACTTTAAAATATTTTATAAAGTTAATAATGACTTTTTAAAAATTATAATTAATGTAGCAAAAATTATTAAAGAAATGAAAATAATAATTAAATATGTAAATTAAGAGATAAATTATTAAAGTGTAACACATTTAAATTTTTAATGAAGAAAATGCTTATTTTAGCATAAGAAGAGAAAGTAGTGTAATATTTCAATTTGTGGGAGAATGTTAGTGTAAAGGGTATTTTAGTAATAAAAAAATTGAAACTGAAGTTAATGGAAATTTTTTTAAAAAATGGATAAAGTATTACCTATTACAATCTATAGAGAGATGAAACTGTATTTTTTAACTTAAGAGAAAAAAGTTGTGTAACATTCATATCTTTCATGATAGGGAAGTATAATTTATTCAAAAATATATTTATAAAGAAATAACGTACATTCCTCAAGCATCATCTTGGTTAACACCTAATTAATCACGCCAAGACCTATAAGAATTTATTTAATT